CCAGGCACGGAATAGGTGCTCAATGTTTATGAATGATGAAATGGAAACAATAAGAGGACTTGGATGAACCTGGACACCTGAGTTCTGGAGCTTTCTGGCTTTTAACATCTCTCTTCCATAAATCTCTTGCCTTCTCAGGGGAAGTGTATTTGATCGGAAGCGGCCATCGGTGCAGACTGGATGAGTGACCCTGGCAGTGTCACGGGGCTATAGGCCGTTCCTTTCACATTCCAGACCGTGGAGAGTGTTCACAGTTTCAGGAAAGGAGCTTTGTGGCTGAGGAGTCAGTTACCAGTTACCTTGAGGCGACTCTGTCACCTCTTAAGTTGGTGTTTGTTTAAAAAAAAAAAGTTAATTATCAGCACATTTATTGAGTGCCAGCTGTGTGAAGCCCAGTGTTAGGTACCTTAGTGGATGTCGGGGAGGGTAAGCTCTGTTCTTCTGCTGGGCCTGGCCTGGGATGCTCCTGGGTCAGCTGAACTTTGCTGTTGGTTTCAGGAAGGAGCAGAGGCTCCAGAATTGCCATGTGTTTGACTGTCTCCATCCCAGAAACCTCTTCCTGGGTCTTTTCTGTCTTTAACACATCACTCATCCTTTCCCGGGACTCCTTGCAAATCGATTTGCAGGGGTTCTCCCAGAAAGCATCAGCCCTGCTTCGTGACAATCTCTGTGGAAATCTCCTAGGAAGACTGTGAACATTGGCTGTATGGATGTGAGCTCCCACATCTAATGTGGCTTCAGGGGCAGGCAGTTCAGGGCTTGGGGTGTTCCAGTGACTCGTGCAGGTGAATCTGAGGATAGCATCTTGGTAGGGGAAAGTTTCGGGTTCTTTTTCTTTCTCTGAAATTTAGAATAAATAGGTATAATTGTAGCTTCCTACAAAATCCCTTGGCCTCAGCAGGGCCCAAGGGCACCTCTGTCCAGCCTCCTCTCTGGCAAACTCCTTTCTCCTCCTTGGTAAAGGCCACTCCCCAGGACAGAGGAACCTGGGGAGGGTGGAACTGGCCAGAACTGCCTGGTGGAGCTCCTTGGTTGATTCATATCCTTTTTCCTCTGTGGAGACCCGTTTCCTGATTTCTGAAACTGCTTCTGAGCTGGCAGCTTACTCAGGGACCTGAAACCGGAGAAGGGGTGACACTTTTTATGTCCCTGAGATACTCTCTGACTTTGCTTTCCCCAGTTGCTCCCTCACCCCCCCCCCCCAAATCTGGAACTGGGGAAACATCTGTACCTAGGTTCTGAATTGTGACTTTACCAGCACCCCCGGCTCTGTCCTCTCTGGAACCCCCTCAGCCTCCTGGTCACTGAATTCAGTGCTGGGAACCATGCTGGGACCTGAAGATGTAAAGATGAACTTGACAACCTCAGCCCTGGAGGGCAGACCCTACGTAAGGGGATTTCACCAGGATGGTGCAATCTTCGGCTTCTGGTGAAGGGGCCACAGGAGCAGTTAGGGAAGAGAGCCGTGGAGCACAGACTCTGGAAGGAGCCCCAGAATTGATCTACATCCTGAATTTCATTCTGTGATGGAGGAGATTGTAGGGAGTTGCTGTTCCAGCCAACTATGTCGAGTCATTGGATTCCGACGGTTCTTTTTGTTCCTTTATTGTATTTGGGTTCAGGGTCCCTGTCTGGGTTTGTATTATATCTGGCAAAGGACCTGGGTTCTCAGTTTTCTTCTGGGCCTAGGTTGTAGATCTTGGAAACTCCTAGGAGAGCATTTTGCTCCAACCAAGGATCAGATGCCAGAGCCTTAAATAATGGATTTTGTTTCGCTGTGGCCTGGGCAGAGCTCTCTTCTGCTGCTGCCTCTCCCCACGCACATGTGCAGTGATGGTGCACTGGGCGTTTCAGGAGGGAAGTGAGCCCTGATCCCCCCTACAGGCCTCCTCCCCTTGGTAAACCCAGTTGCCTGTTTCTGTTTTGCCTGGTTTCCCTTCTTCGCACCAGCACATTCCCAGCATTCTCCCAGGCGATTTGTAGAGGGCCTGCTTGGGGTCCTATATGAGCCGTGTCCTCCAAGCTTTTGTAGCCCCCTGATTGCCTACAATACTCAGTCCATGACCACTGTCATCCCAGAAGGCTTCTGAGGAGGGGGCGAGGGCTCCTGCCCCTTGGAGGCTGGGTCCCTCTGCTCTCCCAGGGGAGGCAACCTCTCTCACCCGTCCTGCTGACAGCTAGGGCCAGCATGGCTGTGGGCTTTGGGAGGGAGAGGTGGCTTTCCAGGTCCCACCCAGTGGAGCACCGAGGTGGTCCTGAATTTTTTCCTACCTCACAGGGATGTTGTGAGACTTTAGAAGGGATGAGGACAAAGGCCCCTTGAGCTCTTTGTAGAAGGCAGAATAAATATCAGGTGTGATCTATGCAAAGATGAGTTGCGGCCTGCTGGTGTGGCAGACATGCTCGCGTTCTGTGGCCTTCCTCGGGCCCCTGCGCCACCCACAGCTCCAGCCACCTCGAGGCCACCCTGGGGGATTTTCAGATGTTCAACATAGAGGTACCAGGCGAACCCCTACTATACACCCTGAGTGAATTGCTGAACATCAGAGGAAATGGACCCTGCTTTTGAGGATGTACAAATGTGTCTGCATTGATGTCTGTACTGTACATTTCTAATTTATCACTGTACAAAAAAAAAACTTTGCTATTTAATTTTTGTATCAAAGGAAAATAAAGTTTTGTTTATTAGCTGGTGTATGATTTGGTCTGTTCCTGCAGGTGTCTGAAAGCCCCTGGGATGCACACTCACCCAGCAGTGAGAAATAGAGAATTGAGTTTGCAGGGCGGAGGGAGAGCCTCTTTCTGAGAGCCTCTTTGTTCTTTTTTTTTTTTTTTTTTTTGCTGGTGGTATTTTTCCCCTCTGGGATTTCTCCTGGGACAGCAAACCCCTGATGTCCAGGGTCAACAGACTTTATCACTACTGTGGCCATCAGTAACACTCAAGTGGTCATGTGATGCTTCAGATGTAACTGCAGTTCTGAAGCTGTCATCCCATGACACCCCTCTTTGGCATTTCCAACATGTGTGGTCATTTTTACACACCTTCCAAGTCCCTTTGACTTCATCTGGCAGCCTGAAAAAAGTTTTCCTATCACTGCTAGAACTTCAGGCCTCTTACAAAGGTAGGAAAGGGAGCTTTTTTTTTTTAACTTCAGATTTTCATTAAAAGAAAAAATTTTTTTCTGGCTACACAATGGTCTGTTTTGTGCAGTAGACATGGGAGTGTGTCACATCAGTCAGCCAGGAAAACAGCCTCTTTAGATAATTTTATAAGTTGGGTGGTCTGTGTCCCGATAGCCAGAAAAGTCACCAGACAAAGCAGATTCAAGGCCATTATGAGGACATTGTCGTGGGAGCAAGTAATACCGTGGACCACACAGACACAGAGGGAAGGGAAGGGGAGTCGCCGCCACTGGAGGTGCCTGCTGATGTCCCAGAGGAGCGTAGCAGCCTTCTTGGTTGCCTTTAAATTGCTTCCACCCATGGGGTTCCCCTGAACACCACCCTGTTTTGATGGGAGTGAGAAGCACAGGGAACAAGAATCTGCAACGCTCTTCTCCACTGCAGAATGCTATTGTACTTTCATCTCAAACCATAACTGAAGGCAGGCGTGTAATTTAAATTCTCTTCCCTGTGAGGCGGGCTCTGTTTCTCATTTCATTACCTACTTACCAGGTAGTCATGAAGTTAAGGGAAAGTCAACAACGATCTGGAATGAATTCATAATAATCCCTTGCACTTGTAGAAACACTTTCCACGTTGAGAATAATTTTATTTACATGATTTCATTTTATTCTCATGGCCTCTCTGAGGCGGGCAGGGCAGGCCTTACTTTGCTTTAGAGACGAGAACTGAAACTTCGGGTGAGGGACTTGCCGAGGGGAGCTCCGCGGGTGGGTCGCCTGTGGGACAGCCACGACTGCTCGTGCCTAGCCCAGGGTTTCGTTTTTGTTTTACACTCAGTGTGGGTTGAATTGTGCCTGCCCCAAAGATATGTGGAAGTCCTAACCCCCTGTACCTGTGCATGTGAATTTATTTGGACCCAGGGTCTTTGCAGACATAATCAAGTTAAGATGAGCTTACACCAGATGAGTATGGGCCCTAATCCAGTGACTGGTGTCCTTATAACAAGAAGGAAGTTTAAACACAGACGCGGGAGAACGCCAAGTGAAGGCAGAGGCAGAGGTTAGGGTGACACAGTCTCAGGGCAGGCAGGTATCTCTGTATCAAGGAGAGAGGCACGGCAGATTCTTTCTTAGAGCCTCCAATAGGAGCCGACCTTGCCAAAACCTTGCTTTTGGGCTTCTAGCCTCCAGAATTGTGTGAGAATGAACTTCTGTGTCGTAAGCCACCCCATTTGTTTCGGTAGACCTAGGAATCAAATACATACTCCATCCTCTGATTTCTTTACTGCAAATAGTTCGCTGGGAATGGGTAAGTGTTTTGGCAGCAAAGCAGTAATGACATCTGGCCACGAGCTTCTGTTGTTTAAGGATTACGTAGCATAATCTTTGTAAGCTGGATACCTCTAGAATAAACCCCAATATCCCGGACACTCAGCTGATCTGAACTGGTCTTAGCTGGTCTCCCACCACCCACCCCCAACGGGAGCTATGTATGCAGGGCCGGGACCTTGACTGGAATGTGGCCCAAGGGTTTTTAGCATTTCTGTCCTGAGAACTGATTTTTTCTCTTTCCCGTTTTAGCTTTCACATGCAATCATAATTTTAAAGTTGAGCAGACTCTTGACTGAAGAGGTCAGCCTTGGCCTCCTGTCTTCAGAGTTTCTGTGAACAGAAATAAACTACATCGGGAGAAGGGCGTTGTCCTCGGCTCGGTTTCCACTATGCAGCTGGAGTGTAGGACTGGGAACATCGCGCTGACTGTTTTGAAAATGTTGGCCCTGAAAAGGTTTAGTCCAGAAAGTTTTCAAAATGGACCTTGGCCCCACCTGAAATTCCTGGAATCACCCTATTCTTTTCCTTCTGTCTCATCCTTAGGCTAAGGTTGAACCCCTGGATTCATCTGCTCTCAAGGCAAAAGGATTCCAACTTCTCAAACTCCTGGCAAGAAAGAATAAAAAGTAACATTTATTACGTTTCACATCAACTGCCTGATTTCATCAGCCTCCCGCAGGGTTTCCTACAAGCACCCGATCCGGTTTTCACCCAAGAACATGCTTAATCTCACGGAGAGCCCACATTATCGGTGCCTTTCTCTTTAAGAGATTAAATGATTGGCTATCTGAAATTTCCAACATGCCGGAGGATTGCATCACTTCACTTGATGAGAGGTAAACGGGGAGAGTATAAAGCTCTGAGATGGAAGATGGGGTTGATAAGTCACAGAGAAAACCCTGTCCTCGTTCCATTGTTTTCCTTTCACGCCCTTGTTTTTCATAGGTCTTTCCCTTTGCCTGCAATGCCCCTTCCCTCTTTCTTCAACGAGACTGAGTCTCTTCTTCCTTCAAGATCGAAATCTTAGTTCATCTCTCCTGGGAAGTCATCCCTGACCCTCCTTGCCACTTCCTGCCTCGCTTTCCTTCTTACCAGAGGTAAGTTTAAGCCTCTGGGCTTGCAACTCTGGGAGCCTTCACTGCACAGTTTGTAACGATGCGTTCATGTGTCCATCTCCCCATGAGACTGAGCACCCTGACCGTGACTCTGAGCACCCAAAGGTTCCCAGCTGTGTGCTCCCAGCCGGGCATGAGTTTCAACATATCAATGGAAAGAATAAGGGAAGGAGGGAGGAAGGAAGGATGGGGAGATAGAAGGAAGGAGGGTTTTACCTTGTTAGGTGGGGAAACGGAGGGGCTTTGGTGACAAATGTGGCCAACATAGGAAAGAAACCAAAGGTAGCAACAAAAGCCATCACACAGGCAGGATTGTCTGGATAGACACTTAGGCTGCAGCCGCAGGAAACCCTCTAGTCTCAATGATGGGTTTGAGAATGATCGCCTGCCTACTGTGTTGCTTATTGTTACACCATCTCTTTTCCTTCTGTCTTCTCCTCCTCCAGTAAATATTTGCTGAGTGCCTACTGTATGCAGAATACTGGAGTGGGCTGTAGAAGGGAGAGGGGGAGTGATTATAAAAAACCGCAAAAGGCAAGGTCCAACTCTGAGTCCAAAAGTGCAGATGATGAAACAGAGAAAGAATTCATCTGTTATTAACAAGCTTAAAACTCCAAACCTGGAAAAACAAATCCTCTATTGCTTGGTAAATATTTATGGACTAGCTGAATGAGGGTCCATCATGTGCCAGCTTGGTAGGGTACACCAAGATAAATAAGACACAACTTTTCCTTCCAGAGGTTCATGGCAGCAAACCACATTCCCCCACCACCAACCCCGTCTGCTGCTATCCGAACCTGCTAGGGTTCAGTGCTACTATTCCTATCACATTTACTATGCACTTTCTTCCTAATCTGAGTCCCAGGGCCTTGCTGGTTTTGTTTGCATAGAGCACTTCTAAGGGCTGAGGGCAATGGGAAAACTGTCTGAACCATTGTCATCCCACCATCTGATCCCCGAAAGGATACCTCTGACCCAACAGGTGATGGCGTCGGCAGGGTGCAGGGAGAGGAAAGGGAAAACGCAGATCCCAGACTTTTCTAAACCTTGGTCTACTCGTCCCCACCCTCTGTCCAAAATGTAAAAAATAAATATTAAAACCTACTTGTGAGGTGCCATTGGAGACACTTCCTCGTCAGATCAGCCGCCTCCATCTGAACATTGTTTCTGGCACATGTGTTGATTTATATCACCTGCACCGAGCAGATGGTTTGTGTCTGTGTGTCTGCCCTATGTCATCTGAGCCCTGCTCGCTTGCTCCTCTCGTGTCATAATCCTAGAAATCCAAAGAGACTACCCTATAGAAGCTAAAGGAATTGCCCAGCCAACCTCATCTACCCAGAGTAAGAGGAAGAAATGTGTGAGTAAACTTGGCTGAGAGATGCCTGTGGTGGGGTGCGGGCAGCGAGTCATTCTGAGTGACTGGAGCCGAGATTCTCAGAGTGGGAGGGGAGGTGGGCTGAAGCCAAGTTAGTAAAGGCCTTGGAGGTGGCACTGCTCCCCGCGCTGGACACAGGGGAGGCGGCAAAAGTTTGAGGCAAAAGAGGCTGACGTCCACATTGGTGTTTTGCAAGGCTCACCCTGGCTGCTGCTGCAGGCTGGAGACAGGCGAGCGGGAGGCAGGCAGGACAGTTTGGGTGAGAAACCACGCGGGCCCCCGTGAAGGCGGTAGCCGAGAGATGGGAAGGAGGGGGCGATTTTCAGAGAAACCACAACAGACCGCGTCCTCCATGGCACAGTTCAATGAGCTGAATCTGTGCTTTCTAAATGGCCGGTGTTTTGGGGGCCGGAGCTTTCTGTTTGCTCTGTACACCTGATACAGCACACTCCCTGCGTTGCAAGTTACAGATAGATAACGACCTCGGCACTGAAGGGCTGCGGCAGATTGCACCCTGGAGAGCAGGGGTTTCCCCTGGTGAGCCTGTCTCCCTCCAAGTCTGCAGGTCAGCATGACACCATTTGCTAGTGGCTGGAAGGGACAGGGTCCTTGAGAAGAGAGCATGCTGTTGAGTTGTTTATGTAGGGCTAAGGGGCCCCACCACCTCTTTTGGATTCAGAGTTTCCTATCAAGACACACTTCCTAGAGTAGTTGATACAGATTCCATAGTAAAGGCTTAATGTTGTACAGACTTGATCCCAGTCAAGTCTCCCATCTAGATTTTGTTTCTTGACACAGTTTTTATTGTTTAACTGTTATCAGTAAAAATCTGAGCTGTCCAACCAGATCCATGGCAAAGATATGAAAACACAATTTCCCTAGTCCTTTTCATTTTAAATCAGAAATTCTGTATAACATTTTCCATAAATGAAAGAGAGAACCACTTCCTAGCTTTTTTGGGGGGGGGTGGGTGTCTTTTTTTTTTAAACAACAGACCTTCCTTTTGGATTTACATCAGCATTTAGCTAACTTCCTGAACACTTCACCCATTTCCTGAACTTATTCTGAGGAAGGAAAAACATCCTCCTTCAGAAATAAATGCAAATAATCGCAGAGATTATTTTTATTAAATAAATAGTGTAAATGCAATGGAATTTCCTGTATGATGTACGTTTACTGTGGATATTTCAACAAAAATCTATTTGTTGTGATCCTGTAGTGGCCATGTTATTTGCAGGTAGTCTGAGGAATTATAACCATTATGCAGCTACTCAAGAGAGAAGTTCTGAACATTTGCAGTTTTTGCTGTTGGTAAAAACTATTTTTTTTTTACTGAAAAATCTGAACACTAAGGGAATGGTTTTCTGCAGGTCAGCAATTTTGAAACTTTGTTTCTCTTAAAACAGGAGTGACACCTAGTGGTGAATACGGGAAAGACAGCCTCAGAGCTGACGATTGACTTCATAGGGCCTCTCAGTGATGAGGATTTTTTGTTTATGTATTTGCTTGGGAGAAAACACACCCCTTCCAAGCACTTCTTAATGCCCAGACTGCCTAAGAATCCTGAAAAGTGGTGACATGGGAATTGCAACCCTTAAGCGTTTCTGGAGATGCTCTCTTCTCTTGATAATATTTACTCAGAGCCAGCCCACCACCTAGGGCTAAACGGGTTCAGCTTAAGAATGAATGGAAAACGTGAGACTTTGCAGAGAAACTCATCAATATGTAAAGCTAGGGTCAGGTTCTCTTCAAAAAAATTTTTTTTAACGAGAGCAATTTCTTTGTATTTGTGAGAAGGCCTCTTCCTATTTAGCTGTCTTCTAGTGGAGAAGAATGGTACTTTTTTGGCAAGTAAATCTCACTGACACTACTGCTTCTATCTTTTATGCATGCTTTACGGGCCCTTCTTATGTTCGCCAGTGTTGGGCAGTGGCTGACTGTTAGAGAGAGAGGTGATTGGGATCTGAGAAAGGTTTTTCACCCCTCATCTTTACCTCCACCCCCATCCGGCAGAAGGCCACCCGGGACAGATGGATATCTGGCCTCCTTGCACCATCCCCAGGAAGAGACTCCTTAATCCATCACCCAGGCTGACATTCCTGCTTAGGTCCAGCCCCTTAGTGTGATAGCCAAGGCCTCCAGAACCTGGCCCCTTCCACTCTCCTCCAGCCTCACGCCCCGCCTCTTTCTCAGGCACAGAGTATGTTCCAGCCAATTCCAACCACTGCCAGCTCCTTGTTTCCCTCACGCTGTCTCACCCATCTCTGTCTTTGCACATGCTGGTCCCCCTCAGCCGGGAGACTCTGCCCCTCCATGGCTCTGTGCTCATTCTTCAAAACCCTGGGTCAGTGTTTCCTCTCCTGGGAGCCTTGAACGATCCAACCTGGCAGACACATAGTGCCTCCCAAACACCCATAACTCCACGTGTTATTTTGCTTTCTGTTGTTTGTATGCATGTCTCCCATGGGTGCACGTGATCTTCTTGTGGGTAAGAACCGTGCTGGTGCCCAGCTCCCTGGCTTGTCCAGGTGCTCTGCAAGCGTTCAGTGACGTCCTGCCATCAGCCATCTGTGGGGTTAGACTCTTCCACTGGGCTGCAGTGTTTTGATAGGAGCAAATTAGAAGTGGGTAGGCAACTGGTTCCAGGGTAGAGTTGACAGTCAGGGGAGTAGGTCTTTGAAAATGTACAGCAGCCTTCCCACCCCCAGACCCCTGCCAGAGGAATACGGTGATTTCACAAAAATGATCTCTAAGTTTCTGCCTGAGCCTAACATTGTAGGGTTCTGTCAGTAGGGGAGCTATGACGTAAAATAGGGTTTTTGAAATTCTGAGGTTCATCCAGAGTCTATAATTGTATGCAAAATATTTTATGTTCACATGTGTTTTTTGAGGGGAAAATAGTCCAAGCTTTCATGAATGGGTTTACGATCTCGAAAGATTAAATATTACTGATTAAGAACATTGAGCACAAGGGTGTTCATAATCTCTCTTGGCTCAACAGGAGTTGACACCTTCTCGAGGCTTCAGGAGAGAGGCTTAAAAACCAGCAGCCTTGTTGCTTTTTCTCCGCCATCCTTTGTTAGATTTCACCTACAGGTCTGGTCTGCAATTTAAAAAGAGAGACTAAGGGGCTTTTGGCTGTGTTCTGTTTGTGCTGCATGAATGTCCCCCCTCCTCAGGTTCTGAACGTAAGGGGAGGGTGTAGTCAGAACCCTTGACAGCCCAAGATTATGTACCTTTCCCCACATAAAAAAAAATTTTTCCTGCTCTGGGAAAGCTATCACACCAGTGCCCTCAAGTTCTGCCCAACTGGTCCACACTGAACCCTCTGGACAACACCAGGTCCCCTGCGTGTGAAGCGTGACTGCCCAGACGTCCCGCCAGCCTGGCCTGGGCCCACGGAGTGCTGTGGCGCTGTTGCTCCTCGATGGGAGATGCCACCTGTAAAGTGAATTGTGGCTGGCGGGGCAGGCTTCACGGGTGTGTGGCCCGAGCAGTCGTCCAGTGCCCCACGCTTTGTTTACCGCCCTCCTGTTGCTGTCTTGAAATCCTTACTTAATTTTTGAACAAAGGCCTCCGTAGTTTCACTTTGCACTTGGTCCTG